AAATAAAAAGTTTTGTTCTGTTGGCTTTTCCCCCCTTGCTACTATTTGTTTATGTATTTTCCCCTTGCTACTATTTATTTATTTATTTATTTATTTATTTATATTTATTACTATGACAATGTTAAGATTAAAAAAAAATCTTACAGATTTTAATCAGTTTTTCAGAACATCTACTTTCAGTGTTGTTAGTATTAAATATGAGAAGGGGAAGAAAAAAATCTACCTGTAATGTAAAATGAGCCATCCTCTTTCCTCTCTATCATAAGCAGATCAATATGCAAAGTTATTGGGACTGATTCAGGAGCAGACAAACTGTCACGAGGACTATCATCCTAGAAAACAAAAGAAATAGAAACTGTTAACTTGTGCTAAGGTGAAATTCTGCATGCAGAAAAAATTTCTGGCAATAAAGTAAATTTCTAGTGACAAGGTAAATAAGAACTAGTAATCATGTACGAGCATTAAACATATAGACAAGCCCCCCTATATATAAATGCATACATTTTAAAAGTGATAAACCAGTCTAGATTAAATACTTCAGTGACATGGATTGCAATCCAGTTTCACTGCTGTTTAATATTTTCACAGTTGCCATAACAATAAAGATGAGTATGTTAGTGTGATCCAGTTTTCATTAAAGGGCCAATTCATGAAACATGGAATTCCTATAGCCTCATTTGTATTACGTATGTCACACCGAATGACTACAATTTATTCAGATATTAATGCTATTCCCTTAAAGCAGCTCACAACAGTTAATTAAAAAAAACACTGAATTAAAAAAATTGTTGGCAGTTAAACCATAGCATAAAAATACTGACACAAACCAAAACCAACTTCAATAGGATTCTGGAATGAAATACTTGGAATTAAGCTGCCCGACAGGGATGTAATGCCCCTTTCCAATTCCCAGTACTTGTTTTTTTTATAATAACTTTATTAATTTTTTTTAAAGGGCAAAAACTAATATTAAGAGAAAGAATAAGAAAGAAAAAATTGAAAAAAGAGAAAGTAGTAAAGATCAAAAGTGCAGAAAAGAAAAAACAACAAAAAATTGACTTCCGACCCTCCTTGCAACAGATATAAGTAACAATATACATCAAACTCTTACTCTAAATTTAAAACATAACTTTATTTCTATTAACCCACATTATTTCTAAACATCAATTCCATACAACATAATTTGATTTTTTCTGTTTTCCACAAGAAGTCCAAAAAAAGGTTTCCAGTTAGCATTAAAATTACACAATGTCTTATCTTGAATCAAAGCAGACAATTTTGCCATCCCAATTCCCAATACTTGTCAAAGCTATCTTAATCAAAATCTATATTTAAGGGGCAGACTGAAATGGATCTAGATAATCTAATCCAGGAATTCTTGTAAACTAAATACAATCCATAAGTGTTTTGTACCACCAATAAATTAATCAATTCAATTCTTATGGCCATCCACTATAAGACAAGAACAAAAATAATAATAAATAACAATAGGAAATAACAGTAACAATTAAAACATATTGCACCAAAGAAACAATTTAAATGGGCTTATATAACTTCCTATCCCAGTGCCTGGAAGAAGAGCCACATCTTTAAGGCCTTTTCAAGGCAGGCAGGGTTACAGCCATCCAGATCTGTCAGCTCCATTAAGTAGACCAGAAAATCAACTCCACATGACTAGAACTGTATTTTATTGACATAGGCTGTAATAACAGAACCTTGTAAGCCTGATTGTGCTTTGCTTCCCCTCCTTATACTCCACTGAATCAGGGAGGAGCCTGTCTGAGTCACTTCTGAGTACTATCTTGCTTCCCAGGATTTAAAGAATGTTTCAGCCCTCTTTGCTTACATAATGGTTCTTGCATATTTATGTCAAGGTCATTTCCCTTACTCTCTACAAGATCTCAGGGGGAATGGTGTTCGAAAGGGCAGGTGTAGCAACCGAGAAGGCACATTTGGGTCCCACAAGATGACACTGCTTGAGTGATGGGACCTGGAACAATGTCAGACTTTATTGGATGGACAGAGGTAATCAGAGACAGGCAGCCTTGGAAATAGTCAGGCTCTATGTCACAAAGGACTTTATGGGTGACAACCAGCACCTTGAATTGCACCCAGAACCCCACTGGCTCACAGAGGAACAGTATTACATGAATATACAGAGGTGTGCCCATAACTACTCGTGTCGCTGCATTTTGGACTAAATATAGCTTCTGACTGGAGTTCAAGGGCAGCCTATCTGGACCATGTTGCAGTAGTCCAGACATGAAGTGACCAAGGCATGAATGACTATGAATAGGGCATCCAGATCCAGGAATGGGTGCACTTCATACGTAAGATTGATTTGTATAAAGGCCCTTCCAGGCATGGCTGCCATGTGCTTTTCAAGCAAGAGTGGCGAGTCTAGGAGGACCCCAAATTGCACACCAGCTCTGTCTGGGGTAGTGCATCCCCATCCTGAACCAAAGATTGCCATATATACTCGCAAATGTCCATGGATAAGCTGACCCTCAAATTGTTAACCAAAATACAATGAACAATGTGCCACCAGAACAATTTGCCACCTGTGGATAAGCCAACCCTCAAAATTTTTGTATGTTTTCATTTTCACAATTGACTTACCTGCAGGTAGCACACTGTTCATGGTATTTTGGTTAAAAAATCAAAGGTTGGCT